GGAAGGATCCCTACAAAGTACTCGAGCCGTGTCTGAGGAGGGGGAAGGGAAGAGAACAGCGACTCTGGCAAGGCAAATGCAGAAGTACACCTGGGCAGGCAAAGAAAAAACAAAAATTTTGCAGAGTGATTTGCTAAAGGTTTGAAAAATAACAGGCCGTCCTTTCGCAGCAACCTCCCGGGCACTAAGGCTGCGAGGAGCCTGCCGACCGATAAAGGGGCAGGCCGGGGAGCGGCGAGCAGATAAGGGGCCGGGAGGTGAATTCCTCCCGGCCCTGGGTGCTGGGGAGGAGCCCGGGGAGGTTCCCGTTGCCCGGCGTCCGACAGCAAAAGCAAGTTTTTGCTTTCCAAGAGGCCACCAGCTGCTGGGAAAACTGGTGCAGGGCAGCGTCGCGGCGGGTTTGCCGCCTTCGTACCACCTTTACAACGCCTCTGCCATTAGGCGCCGTAGGGAGCCGGTTACGGCGGCAGAGGGACCTTTTATCTGCCCCATCCAGCCCCACTTAGGCCCCGAGGACGCAGCTGCCAGGGCAGGTCCCCGGGGAGCTGCTGACAGCGGCGCCGGTGGAAACGCAGACAGGCTTCCCCGGAAAAGGGCTTCACAATTTCTAGCGGATGAATTAACATTGCTGGTTACCGTTGTTTGTCTTGGAGAAGGAAAAGAAATAGAACTCCCTGTGAAATACCACTTTAATGAACATTAGGTTGGGTAACCTGGAAAGCAAGAAGGAACGTGAGGGAAATAGAGCTGGCAGCTGGTTATCGGGCAGGGTTGGTCTGGGTGGGGAGGATGGAAAAAGAAAAGGAAGAGCCTTGCAAAAAATAAGCACTAAGTAAACCACTATCAGACGAGTTCATTAGAAACTCATGTAAAAAAATACTGCCAACCAGACCAAACACGCATGCGACGGGCCAGCCCCCCCCACCTGAACACAAGGCAGAAAAAGCCACTCGCAAAAAACCGACAGAACTAAAACACATCGAGAGTGTTTTGAAAAGGGATTCACGACTTTTTGGGCCTCTGGTCTGGCTCTTTCCTTGTTCAGGACGTGTTAACCACCCACTTGCAGAAAAAGTGCGATGCAGTAAGATCGTGCGAAAAGTCCTCCCTGAAAAAATCACTGCACGCCTTTCACACCCCGGGCCTCACGGGCACAGCTTGCAGGGTAAGCCCGGCAATGGCAGAAAGCACACCGAAACCTGCAAGAGCTCGAGGCGGCCGAGGGAAACCCCAGAGAGCAGAGCTGCAGCACGGTATTTAGTGCTGATAGGCAGCAGCATGTCTTGGGAGCTCAGGGACAGCTCCTGGGCCGTGCAACGGGCAGGAAATCGCTCACCCCGGAGCAAACAGCACCACCGCAGCGTTGTACACTGCTCGAGCACGTTGCACCCCCCCCCCGGGCGCCGTGCGGAGCCAGGCTCCTTCCAGGGACAGTGGCACTTCTCAGTCGCTGCACAGCCTTTGCACGGGACACCCACCGAAGAGTTTGCAAAGCTCAGTGGCGGGGGGGGGGGGGGCTGTGGGGTGGGGGGTGCCCACCGTAACGGAGCAAACCTGCAGAGCGTTCCTGAGCTGCGTGAAAAACTGCCACCGAATCTTAACACCTGCACAGACACAGCTACTTTCTCTTCCAGGTGCAAAACTGGAAGAGAATAGGTTTCTATCTCCCCTTTTATAATTCATTGCTGGTAAGGACAGTAAAAGAATCCTCAGAGAGCGTCTTTATCTCTTTAGTTTTTATTAGGCCTTTTGAATCGGAGGCAAAGCAGCGCTGCGGAGCGCTCGCAGGGCTGCTGCGTGTGCTGTAAACGTGAGTGAAACACGTATTGGAAAGCAGATGCCTGAAGCTCTCCCTTGGAGCCAGTCCCAGCACGGGGAGGGAGAGGCTGGAAGGTCACTGATGACACCTCGATGCCTCCTCTGAAACCTGGCAGCCTCCAGCCCTGCCCAGCAGCACGGGCAGGCAGCCTGCACGGCCTGGCTGCTTGCTTGGGCCCGAGCAGAGTCTGGGCAAAAAGGAGCACGTGCGTGCCCGCCACCGAGCGCAAACCCCTCGAGCTGCATGCGGGACACCCCAAAATGCCGTGGGGACCGGTACGCGCTGTGCCCCAACGGCAAAAGCAGGAAGTTCCCCAGCTCCCTATCAAACGCGCGCGCAGGCACTGCTCTGCACCCCCAAACAGCACGCACACGCTTCCCATCCATGCACGGAGGGAGGGAGGGAGGGAACATACGCCCAGCACCCCCACTGCACTTGGCCTCAGGTGCACGCATGGCCTTGGGGG